CCCCAAAACCCCAAAACCCCAAAACCCCAGCTTAACATCGCCGGATTGAAAATCCGATAAAATGGAGATCTTAAACTTGAAAGATCATAGAAACCAGATTCTTTAGAACATCCCTCGAATCTTCCATCACTAAAATAACCATAAGAAATCTCAGTCTGATCAGCAATGCCTTGAAAGATCCCCATTTTTCTATAAATTCTCAATTCACCACCCTGGCTTTTCACCAACATGACTAAAATATCTGAGTGGTGTGCTTTAAAAATCCTCTTCCATCAATCTCAAATAACTCCAAATCCAAATCTTCAAAATCTGGCCTGATTTGCATATCTAGGCTAAATACTTTACTGGGCTGGCTTGAAATATTTCAGTCTCGACCAGCTGAGCTTTAACAGTAATATCCTAAGTTCTGAGTATAAAAGAAGCTTTAAGTTAAATAATTAATTAACATAAAAACCTTTAACTCCATCATCCTTAATAACAGATTTCTCGCTTAAGCTTCAAATCTGAAATCTAGTTGGATTGTAAGCAGATTACTCCAGGTCCGAGAAGAGCATCCATAACTGGATATACCCAAACCGACATTTTCAAGCAATTTTGGATAAAATGAAACATTTGGAGAAAGATTCTGATGAAAATTCATGGGTTCGATGAACTGGAGGTTACTCAAGTTTTTACATAGATTTAGGTGAAGAAGATGATGGAGGGGTTTGATGAAGAATTATTTGAGACAAATTTAGTTATTATATCCTGAATCTTAAATAAGCTTTTTAAAGCCTAGGTGCAGACATCCTACCTGCTTCAAGATCTCTTATCCTAAATTTGTTCAACTTTGATTAAGATATGAGACTACAGCTATCTTTCTTGTCTGGGTGCCATTTCTTCATGTGGGTCTATAAGGCAAATTAGTTAAAGATAAATATCAACAGATGAGAAAACCATTAAGAATGGAGACAGTTTTTACTGAGATTGAAATATCCCACTTGGGATTCTTCGTAAATTAGAAATCCTGTATAGTTTTTGAGAATTACAAAGTCTCATGTTCCAAGTAATGGCCAAAGATCGAAACCTTGGCTAATTGAATTTATCAGATTTTGGTTATTTGAGCAATCAAATTACTAATTGCAATTTTTAGTGTTTCTAAGTTGAAAAACTTGTTTTTCAACATGGAAATCTCCTTAGGAGAAATAAAAACAATCAAAGACTGTGTTTAATCACTTTTGTTTCATAAATAACTCTAGAATTTCGGTTCGGCTGAGAAAAGATCACAAGAAAATTTTGAATTATGTTATGGTTAAAAGCTTATTCTGATCTAAGCAAATGGCTCTAATTACGATTTGAAGGACATTTTTGGCGAAAATTATCGAACTAGAGTTTCAGAGCCCATATGTTTCCAAATTGCAATTGAGGCTGAGCTAGGAGTCCTTATACAAAGCAAGGTAAACTCCATCTATTAATAGCACTCAGCTGCAATCTAAGCTATGTTTTGAATTAGCTAAAACTTGAAGTATTTATTAAATGAGATGATGAACTCAATATCAGTATCTCAGAAATGCTAGCTTGAAGAATTCAAGCGATGAAATGCAAATTAGGCTTTCTATTGATAATCATTAATTGAACTAAGCAGATGCCAATTTCAAGCTTTGATCAGCCAAGTCATAAGCATACTGTCCGAAAAGTTTGTGGTTCAAATAATACTTAATATATGAGGCTTTCATTTTGGGTGAAAAGTTACTCCAAGAAAATGGAACATCAGCAATCGAAGCTCGAAATCAGTTATTAATGCGGCTTAAAATTAAACCATTATTTAACATTATCTTAATTATGATGGATTAATTTTCTCTGATAAATGAGAAGCAGATGGATATGACGGACATGCTATTTCTTAGTATTATGTAAGATCAGATCAAGCTAAAAATAAATGTTTTTGCTACTTAAATTCTTACCTTGAGGTTATATCTCTCTGTGTATCCTTTCGAGCAGTATCTGCAGTTGTATCTCTTGCGGTCGTTGACATCTGGCCTGATGTGCTGTCTTACATGCTTCTTTAAGTTGCCTTTCTGGGTGAAGCGGTTACCACACCACTTGCACATATATGGCTTGACTCCTGCATGCATTCTGACGTGGTCTAGGAGGTTCCAGGGTTTCTGCATGACTTTGTCACAACCAGGCTCTCCACATTTATACAGAGGCACTTCACGTTGCTTCTTTGTATCGAAGTGGTACAGAGTCTGGTATTGGTACCTTTTGAGCAGTTCGAAGTAGATGTCTTCTTTGGTCATGGACTGCAAATCTAAGTTGCAGTTAGCAAGTTCAGGGTCGAGCAGTGGGATGGAATTTTCAATTTCATGTTTCATGTCATTAGGGAAAGTATGTATTTTCTCAGGCAGCCAGAACATATCAGTGGGCTTGGGATAATCTCATAAGCAGTATATCTTTGATAAGCTCAAGTATCCCATCGAAGCAAAGGGAGAGGGCCCATGCTCTTGTCTATTTAATAAGTCAGAATCGAATCTTGCTGATCTTGTCGCTAAAATAAGATATTAAATAAGATAATCACAAAGAAAAGTTATATTTTATTTCAAAACCAAAAGAATAAAATCTAAGTCGTTGCTCATCTCCAAACCCAATCAGAGATACTTTGGTGAGCTTTAAATGACAATTGACCTCGAAAATACTAAAGGCCACTCTCACCAATAAAGAGCCAAAAGTGGAAGAAAAATGCCACCAACTAACTCAAAGTTTGTCCAAAATATGCCTAATTTCTGTAAAAATAGTAACTTCTAATTCACCAATGAGCTATATAAAATCAATAATTTCTTAATGAGATTCGACTATCGAGTAGCAAATCGCCAGGAGCTCTCAGGCTTGGATCGGAGTCCAAGTGAATTGTGTGCCATTCCGAGCTGATATCTGTGCTAAGCCTAGCTCCACAGTCCTGCTCCTAGTATACGAAAGCAGACTTGGAATCTTCAGCCGTAATCGAAAGTTAAATTCTATTAGAAACTAGAGCCGGTCAATTTCTATTTTGGTGAGAAAGCCAACCTTCCAGTCGGAATGGTAGCAACTCCTGAGGAAGCTGTACTACTTGACTTACATTGAAAGTGATCATGGGCAGAAAATGGAGAATCCATTTGTAGGTAAGTTATTAATTGTTAATAATAATGAATTATTCAGGATATAAGTAGCTGTGCGGGGTTTTGGGGTTTTGGGGTTTTGGGGTTTTGGGG